CCAGAGCTGCTGGTTCTATACGCGGGCACCGAACCTTCTCAGCTCAGACTGAGCTGAGGTCAACGAACTCATTCCAACTTTGTAGTGAAGTTAGCTTTTACTATATGTAGTGGATTTGTATATAAATAAAACAAACAAAATTCCAGTGTATTGGATCAGTTACGGCCGACTGCAACATTCATAGAAATTATATATAAAGCTTACATCGATACCTTCGGAATAAAAATAATTGCTAAACGCCGAAGCTGCAGACATATCGAAATAATTGGAAATGAGCTATGACACCCCAACAATTATTTCTCGGCACTACCGCCAATTGATGCTCTCTGTGTGTATTGGCATCATGTTCTTACCCCTCCACTCTGTTCATAAGGTAGGTGCCTACACGCTTTCTCATGATGCAATGAACGATCTTTGTTTAGAATAGAAATCAAAACAAAAGTTTGTATAAACAAAACAAAAACTCACTTGACGATAAGCCAGTTATAGAGCGAAGTAATTAAATGGAAATAGAGAGGAGAAGTATAGAAGGTATAGAGAGCAGACGGTGAAGTACGAAGCTTTCCGAACTGCCTAAAAAGTGAGCAATTTTGATAGAGAGAGAGAGAGAGAGAGAATGAGATCGGGAGAGAGTGCTAGACACTCGATAACGTAAGCACCTTTGCCAGTTAAATGTAGTTTTGTACCTAAAGCTGGAATGTAAAAAAAAAAAAAAATAATAATAATAATAAGAACGTAGCTATAAATATAAATTATTTTATTGTAAATATATATTATTAATTCTACTTAAAAATATATTTCGATTAAACAATAAATTATTACAATTTAAAAATCCGAAAACAAATATGTTAATAATGAAATCAAACTATTTTGTAAAATGAAAGCGAGTAATAGGTACAATTCTATAACAAACAGAATATTCACTGGATCTCATCATCGATAGAGTATCAATTTTGGGCTTTATTGTGGCAAGCGTGAACCAAAACGTGAACGTAACGTCGTTAATAAAAGACGTAATATTTTGCACTCTCAGTTGAACTTGACGAGCGCCAACGAACGGAATGAGCCCATAAATACGCGAGCTCTCGGGCCCCGGAACTACAGTACAGCTGAGATCGGCGTGGGTTGAACATTAAAAGTTGTCTTGGTCGTATAGTTGGCCAATGTTGTGAAATACATACCAAAGCAACGTTTTTTTTTATAATATAATAATCCAGAAATCTTAAAGTTGTTTTTAATAGATAAAAGGCAAATAAAAATCAACAGATAATGGTGGAAAGTATAACTATCAACGGCGTTAACTATGAAGGTATGTTACTAGATCATTACATATGTCTGTATATATGTATGTACTTTCATCGTTACGTACATATGAATATGTGTAAAGTCTATTAAAATTATTTGTAGAGGACTATCAAAGACGGTTGTGATTATATGTACATACATAAATAAATACATACACGCCGCCGTATCTAAGTAGTTTTAATAACTTTTATATAACATCAAAGATAACAGTCTACAAAACTGTATAAATACATACGTATGTATGTGTATGTGCAAAGAGTGTGTCTGTTCGTCAATCAGCAATTGAAAATTTTCAAATTTAACTGACAATTGTTTTTTTTTTTCTTAATCGATTTTCCTTGCTTATCATACTAAACACAATTAAGTATATTTAATGTTCAAATATATACAGATATAGAAATATTTAAAAAAACGTATTATTATTCCTACTTTCGGAACTTTTACAAAATGTAAATACAAAATGAAGACTTATAAAAAATATTTGAGTAGCAATAAAATTATTGTGTATATTAGATACGCAAAAATTAAATATTCTATGAACTACACACATACATACCAACAGATATACATATGTACATAAAATTTGTGTAAAATTTGACATATGAACACATATTATAACAAATAGCTTAGTTTTTTTTAAAAATATTGGTAGATTTATTTTATCTATTTACTTGATTAACATAATGTTAATCGGCATGGTTGCCTTAATTAAATCTGTTCTCCAGTTAATCTGTCCAGCCTGGCCGCAGACATCAGTCTGAACACGTTTATC